AAAATCTTAAGCACTATCGCAAAAAGCAAATTTATCTGTTTGAATCAATCATAAATGGCAGCTTTTTTACTTTTTTTTTTCTTTTTGTAAAGGAGAGGGGGCAGCACCCATACAAATGTTTATAGGTTTGCATTTTTGCAGTACGACCCATACCTTGAGCTACCAAGTCAAGCCAGTTTAATAGCAATCCAACAAATTCAGGAGGTTTTAAAACTGGGTGCAGTCATCAAGTTAATTTACATTATGAGTTCTGAGTCATATCAGTGTAAATTGTATCATATCATATAAACGAGATTGTGAGTGATATCATTCTAATGTACCAAAGTAAATGATAAAAGAAATCAACGCACATGCAATTGGGAAGCCTTCGCTTCAAGCACACGCATTGCTTCATCAGGCTGGGGTACAGTAAAAGCTGGAACTCCAAGCTATGACAGCAGAGAAAGCAAGAGAAATAGTAAATTATTTAAGGAAATAAGAGAGAGAGAGAGAATAAATTTAGGAATAAAAGAAGCACCCCTATTGAAAGACATAATAACATAAATGTAAGTCTACAAAAAAAAAAAAAACCTTGAAAATACCAGCTTTCTCCCCAGCAATTTCTCCAAGAGTGTTACCTGCCCATGGCATATTACAAAGAATGAAACAATCATACGTATTAGGCCAGGTTGCTTTCAGAGCAGCATTTACATTCAGTTAAGAGGAACACGTCTCTACAAATCAAAATTCAGGAAGCTGACTCAAAGGGAAAGTCTAACTCAAATTTTAATGTCAATTATTGCAACTAAGGGGGTATACGAGGCAGTAGATCATTGACATTGCCAGGGCGAGTCCAAAACTCAAAAAGTCTAGGTCCCAGATGAATCTCCCAGAGCAAATCATAGACAAGCTCCTAAAATGTAAGTATTGGTACGAAATTAAGGCATGACATCTATAATTCGGTTGCATAGTGAGTCTCACAAACATATTCTTTTGCAGCATTTTAAGACATTGTTCAAGCTTATGCTATCCAAGACTTATGGCCTCAGATGTTACGCAGTCATTGTGAATAAACAAATAGTTTCGGCGTCCAAAACGACAGTCTCCAGCCAAAGTAGTCACATTTTCATGGAAAAATATGTCGCAACATTGTCTTACAAAATATATGAGAGCCCAGGCCAGTACACAGTTAAAAAGTGTATCTATTACGGTTGGAGCAACAGCAAGGTTTATCATGGACAAACAAAAACTAAGACTATGCTGTCACCTTTAAATTATGGAGATAGAATGCTAACCAAGAATTTCCATGTGGTCGTACCCAAGGGAAGTTATACCACAAACTACTGGTGTCTGAACCTGAAAAGCAATAGCATGCAACAACATCATGTTCAACATCTCATGAGCAGAAGTACTGAATTCCACCTCAAAGATATCATAGATGCAAATTAATTCATGATTTAATAATATCACAAAGCTTGTTCCAAATTGGATGTATCTCTCACATACCACATTTGTTGCGTCAAATTTTCCACCTAACCCAACCTCCAAGATAGCAACATCCACCTGCATCACAATATAACATTGCATGTACTTTGAGCTAATCACTCTAATGTTGTGGTAAATTCAATGTTATGAGGAAAATAGAATAAACAGCATACCTGCTCTGCTGCAAATATCTTGAAGGCAAGTAAGGCAAGGAAGCGAAAGTAAGTAGGCATGGGTATCTCATCACCGGTGTTTTCCTGCAGATGAGCCACGAAAAAACCACTAAAAATGAATCCATGAAGCAAACATCGTCCAAAAGGAAGCACATTAAAACAAACAAAAAAAGCTTTTTATTCTTTTTCTCGTTGTTCATTGAATACAATATGAGCGAAGATATGGGTCTTATACAAATGGATAGTGCATTCAAACAACGTGATTAAGGTGGTCTTTGGGATGACTTAAAAAGTGTTTCTTGGACTCATAACTTGCCATAACTCATAAGTACTTTAAACCAAAAAGAAAAAAGTAGTGTTTGGAACAACTTATTTTAAGGACTTTGAAATACTTTAGAATTGGTTTTAACAATTAAATAAGCTCTTAAATAGAAGCAAAAAAAAAAAAAAACTATTACTTTTTTAAAAAAAAAGTATCATTTTTCTTCCACGACCACCAACACCACCATTACCTATAATTTAGCACTTAAAGGTATTTATACAAAAGCAATATGCTTTGGGATCATAGGCATTACATGGCTTTAAGTATTGCTACGAAGGCAATACTAATAGCATGATGATCCTACGGATTCATAGGTATGTCATAAAAGAGGTAGTGCAATAGAGTCAGAACAACAAGTAACATCCTAATTCTATCCAACTCACAAAATTACACATCATTATACAAGCAATTTCTCTCCTTTCCTTTCCTTTTTTGGCTTCTTTCAGGAATGGCAGGCTGCTCAGTGATGAATAAATAGCAAAGTCAGTAGATGAAGATGGAATTCAAGTCCTTGGGAAGACATGATCACAGGTGTAGGGTGAGACCTCCACCAGAACCAATAGCATCTCCAGAAGCCATATGAAGTAATTCAGGAAAGCAGAAAACAAGTTTTCTTCTGCCATTTTGCACTTCTGAATAATATCAGCTGCATGACCAACAAACTCGACTAGACTACATGCATACATTGTTGAACTTTGTACCATACAGTTTCAGAGTGGCAGCCTCAGATTGCATAACGAATCATTAAAAACATAAGTCATGAATTTAATTACTGCAATTTTTTTCCAACTTAATTAGAATTTTGGGTGCAATGAATTTATTCGTAATAAGGAGTAACATTACGTGGTTAGGAAAAATAGTTGAAAATAAGTTTAAACTCCTCAATATGATCAACAACAACAATCATCTAACATTACTCTGACAATAATTGACCAAATTATATTCAAAAATATTATAGGCCTCAGTTTATACAATAAAAAGAAAAAACAATAATAAATACAATGTACATGCCTTCAATCTATCATAACACCACCAGAAGTATGCCAAGAACTTCTCTTCACATATGTTCGCACTGAAATAACCAAGAAGAATGAACAGGATATATTAAAATAAATTTTGCAAGCTTAGAACTGTCCCAAAAAATAAAAGAAAAAAGATAATATCTGAGGTTTACCCAACAGGTGGACCATGCTACTTAAGATTTATGCGTCTTACAAAACAAACAAAAAAAAAATTCACCACAAAATAAACAAGGGTGGGAACTACCCTGCCATGAAAAGAAGTACACCAAAAGTTGAAAAATTCGAGTAGAATATAATTCTTAAAGAATGCATATAAAATATCATCTTGAGCCATAGCCAGAACAAAATAACAAACACAAACTTCAACTATTCACCTACACTACCCAACATTAGATAAAGACACACTAATGCTCAATGGGCAACCACAAAAGTATTGGAAGAACACTAAATAGATTTGTGCCTGTTGACAAATATGTTACCATCTGAATATAATGCAATGTGAAAACTCACCCATCCAATCGAAATCTTTCTCGAACATCAATGAGATGAGGAGATGTGAAAAGCCCAGTATGGAAGCCACAATTGCGTAATATAGCTTCTGTAAAAGTGCAAGTTGATCCCTTCATGAAGCCCAAAACACATAATAAATACATGCCACCAGCCATAAACAAACAGTGGTGGGTAGTATATCATAATCTATTTATTTTAAGCCAAATTTTTATAAAATAACATGTTTTTAGCAGAAGTAACCACAACATGGCACATGCTATGCAAACAAAATGTCTGCACACTCTGAATGCTAGAGAAGATGTAGCAAGATGTGCCCCTGAATGAAGATGACATATACATATAACAACCAGTACATGCACACACACGTACACATATCAAAATAAAATGCGAACTTATATGCTATACACACCCCATAATTCATTGCACAGAATGTTTGACACCCTAGAAGTTAAAGTGAATGATCTGGACCTTTGCAAAATAAAGGACCCTAAATACGACGGCCTTAATTGAAAAGCTTGCAAAAAGGTTAATAACTGACCGAGAAGCTGATAGATCAAATAAGCAGAATTTTGCAGAGACTAAACAAGCTAGAATAAGAATGAGTGGAATGATCAAAACGGAAAGGGTGCATTCAGGAAAGGCTGAAGGTAGTACAACAAAAGCAAGAGGAGAGTAACTACAAATACTACGGATTTGGGGCAGTGTTAGCCAACGAGAAATCATTCAAGAGACAGAAAAAAATAACAACGTACTCTCGTTCGATAATGCTTAGTTAAGGTGGAAACATAAGTAATGTCACAAAGATAATTCTATACAGTGAATGAATCAAATACATGAATTTGTTTGAAAACAAGCATTAGTCATAAACTAAGAGTTGGTTGACCCTTCTTATTCTATAGTGTAAATCAGAAAGAACTACCTTCCTTTGGTGCCTGCCACATGGATAATCTTCATTTGTGAAATTGACTCATCCAATTCCAGAATCTATTGTTGATTGATAACATAATATAAGCTTGGGTTTGCAAAATTGCTGCAGCAATGTATACCAAAATTTGCAAATTACCGGTAAAAAAAACTACCTTGAGATAATCAAACAGTAAATCAAATCGATCGCCCTTGTTGCTCTTATCCGCCCGACTACGTTTGGTAATCAGAGAAGAAAGAGCCTCCATTGCCTCATCATATGGCGACACGTCAAGCTTCGACGAACCATTGTCACCTTCACCAATAAACAACACAATTGTCTTAAAAACCACTCGCCACTCGCCACTCGCCACATCTTCTTCATTCAATAAACTCAACGAGCAATCAATAGATTCAAATTCCAAATCACAATTGGTAATATAAAACAAAATCTATGTATGGAGGTTAATGGAAGAGAATCAAATCCAATTAAAAACAAAAAAGAGGAATCAGGCGAAGAATTTGAATCTGAATTCAGTAGCGAGTGAGAGGTACCTCCAGACATGTTGATTTGACTCTGTAAGTTCAAAATCTGAATTCAAAAGAGTATTATTATGTCAAATAAACCAAGCATACGAATCCATATGTATGTGTATATATATATGCACAGAGACTGACCTGGAAGATGCGAGAAGCAAGAACGGAGTATAGTATAGGTTGAGGATTGCAATTTGGTTTCTGGTTTTTCTTTCTGAATTTGATGTGGAAGGAGGAAGATGAAGTGCAGAGCAATGAGTTATAGTTGGTGGTGGAGAGAAGACGATGGGGGTTGGGATGGTGGATTGGGTTTCAAGACTCTTGAACGAACGATAAACTGAAAAGGATTGTGCTCAGGACCGAACCAAGCATTCGAAGTTTTTTGTTATTCCCTTATTCTTTAACGAATTATTCATCCGACACGAGTTTACGTCGAATTAATTCGACAGAGGAGGTCCCTAAAATATGATACAGATTTGTCTTTTTTTTTTTAACTTAAATATTTTAATTGTATCATTTTAGTCCTTAAAATATTTAATATATTTTTTATGATCTTTTAAACAAATAACGTCCAGATTACTAATAATTTTTTATTATAAACTTGTCACGCAATACCTAAATATAGATAAAAAAATTATTTTGATAGTTTTTAAACAAAATTTGAGTAATTTTTCACAAAAAAATGCGTAACATGAGTAGTTTTTGACTAAAATTTGGATAATGTATGATCAAAATTAAATAATTTGAGTAGCTATTTAACCAAAAATTAAGTAAAATTTTGGTCAATAATTATTCAAATTATTTTTTTATTTATATTTAAGTATAACGTGACAAGTTTATGATAATAAATCGTTAAAAGTTTGGACGTTATTTGCTTGAAGAACCATATAGAAACATTAGTTATTTTTTATGCCTGAAGGCACAGAGTAATAAAAAAAATTGTCAACAATAAGCATATTTATATTCACACTTAAAAATCAAATTACAAAGATAGAGGAGAGAGAAAAAAAAATTTAAGTACCGATTGTAATGAGAGTAAGTGGTGGTGGTGAGAAATGGTAATGATTGTTATGAGTAATAATGACCGATTGTGATGACAGCTGTGAGTGAATGTATGTGATGGTGATAGATGGTGATGGCGATGATGGTGAGACAGTGATGACAAGATGACGACACCAATAATGGGGGTGGGGTAGTGGTTGGGTGGAGACAGTGGTGGTAATGGTGGGACGATGATGATGACTGTTGTGGAAAATGTGGTGGTGGGGGTGTGGGTGGGGGTAGGGTGGTGAAAGTTGTGGTAATGGTTGCAGTGGGACAATGAGGGTGGTGGTAGTAATGGGTGGGGGTGGTGGTGCTAGGGCATTTCCAAACAATACTTTTTTTTAAAATATTTATGAAAAATTATAAATTTTAAAAATATTTTTAAAAGTTACTCAAATACACCCTTAAGAATCTATTTTTTCTATTAAATTTGGGGTATTAATATTAGTCGTCGGATTAATGTTAAAGTAAAAGTAAAAAAAATCTCAACCACAAAAAAAAAAAATCATTTTGTTTATCTTTTAAGATTTGAATTGTATTGTACTTTATTATATAAATATCAATACTTCAGATACTAAAATGATGTAATTACAATATTAGAGATCAAAATGAGACAAACTCTATATTTTGGGACTTCTAGTATAATTAACCCTAATTTGTATCTAATGAATTATATCATATTGTATGTGAATAAATCATATATAATTAATATATAAATAAATTATGTTACATATTTATTTTATTTTATTTATATTTGATTCATTTATTAATTGTGTTGTGTCATGACCGTACCTAAATACTCTAATTTTGTATCATATTAATAGATCATATCATATTTTAACACTCTTATATATAATGAATTTTATTTAAATACTTATTAGATGATTTGTTTAAAGAAATTAGAAAAAAAATATTCAAGGGAATCTGCATCTTTCGTTGTCGCGTTTGTTGGAGGCATTGGAAAATTCCTAATTCCGTGAAATACCATGAAACACCCTCACCCCCTTGCTATTATTTATTAATATTTTTTTACTTTTTCTTTTGGTTTTATCATGTAAAGGCCACAATTATTTTAAGGGTAAATTATAAATTACTTTGAGTGGTTTTGCCAAGTTATACATTATTAGAGAGTCTTGCATATAAGGTGTAAAAAATATAACATAATTCGTTAACATGATATGATATGAAATTAAATAGTTTGAGTATTTTTTATGTCACCTATTTCATAAACGAGTGGATCTGACACAACACGAGTAATAAATAAATTAGTGTGGATGAAACCAATCAAAAAAAATATACGATACGATTCGTTTACGGTCAGATTATACACGATTCATATACGACACGAATATGATATAATACGATTAGTTAAACACGAATTAATTAAATGAATAAATTATCAGTAGAATATTTTTTGACACGAATCAACTAAAACTCGACACGAACCTACTTCATCTGACACTATTGACAAACTTACTTGCACTATGCTAGTCTAGTTAGGCTTGTTCCCATGAAAAGTAATGGACACGATCAAGAGTCTCATGATCTCACAAGTGAAGGTATATCGGAGTGGTCTCTAGGTATTTTTCTTTGTCCCACTCTATTTTTCCAATACCAAAATAAAAAAACTATTAAATTTTATGTCCAAACTAACACATAGTGCACTACAAGTAGGGATGTTAGTTGATCGAGCCCGAGCCCAAGCCCGAACCGAGCTTAAAAAACTTGTTTCTTAATCGAGTTTAAAAAAATGTTCAAGTTCGACTTGTTTTGAAAATGAGTCAAGCCTGAAATGAGTCGAATTCGAACCAGGCTTGTACGGCTTGTTTTTTAAACGAGCCTAAAAACTTGCTCAAATTTGAACTCGTTTAAAAAATGAACCGAACCCGAACGAACCGAACTCAAGTTAAATTCGAATAATTCAGTTTAATTAACAGCCTTAACTACAAGTGCCAAAAAAAAGTATTCATGTCTTTCAACTTAAGTACACATCAACTTGGTATATTTTCAAGTAATGTCACGGTTAGTAGTTGGTTTATATATATATATATTCTCTTCTTTTTACTTGGTTGCACAAGTAAGAATATACATTTACATGTAAATAACTATATCATTTATGTACTAAAAATGCATACACATTTTCAAAATAATAATAATGATGATATATAAAAGTGAATTTATGTACCAGCTGTCGAATAATTAATAATGGGTAATAAATACAGTAAATATAAAGGTGAGACCAGCACAGGCAATGCACAGATATAGAGTGGTTTAGTTAGGATGACTTACTCCATTTTGAAGGCGACAACGATGAACGGAGGACTTTATTAAAAAATAATAGATTGGAGAGAAAGAGAGACTAAAAGTAACCTCTAGGTGCAGAGACACAGTTCTGAGTGATGTAATTATGTGTGACAGATGTAAGGGTGTGTAAAAAGTGTCCCTTATATGTAGAAGAATTATAATTTATAGGCACATAATCTTAATTGGTGCGGTGGTCGTAAAGGGTAGGTTACTAATTTTTCGAGAAGGATAGCTGCAACTACGGATATGTACAATTAAAAATAAGTGTGATCTTCGGGGTGGCTATCTCAACAATTAGTCACGTGCGTTGATTTTCCTGAACTCTCCGAACCTTGAACGGGACCAAATTCATGAATTGGACTTAGCCTGTTTTGTATCTAATTTGAGCTTACTTTATGAATTGGGCTTGACCCAATTAGACCTGGGCTCATCAAATAATATTCAAACATTTTTATTTTTTTTGACAATTATTTTTTGTTTTTTAAAAAATACTTAATAAAAATGTAATGTTTTCTCTTTTCCTTGAAATGCGATCGTCTCATCAAAGATGTACAAAAAGTAGTAAATTCAGTAGCAAATGCACAAAGCAACAGAAATGACGATATCCTCAACATACGTTATTTTAAGTTGTACCAACAAACAATAAATACGAGGAGTCGCATGGCATTTATCTAAATAAAGTCGAGCTAAGCTAACTCAAGCGATAGGTCAAAGACAAAAATATAGTACCAGTTTCATTTTTAATTTTTGAGAAAATTGAGGCTTCTTATAATAGCCTTAACCAAATATCGGAAAATCTTAACAGACACCGGAGACAATTCCATAATCACTTCGTAAAAAGACAAAAAACTTCTATTTGATCGATCCAGCCAAATTTTTCAGAATGTTTTCAGTCCTCCTCCCTCTCCTAAGCCGTAAAAAGGAATTAAGAAAGACATTTTTTTTTTTTTATCTTTGTTGATTCAAATGATTTTTCGGAGATCTATCTCTTCTTCAGCTTTTACTAACAAGACGAGTTGTAAATTTAGAAATTCTGAATTTAAATCTTGATAATTTTTGGGACTAAGTCACGAGAGATTTATCTTTCATGAATACTCTAATTCTAGCATAGATGACCTATCTTTGATTAAATCCAAGAACAAATTAATCGAAATGCACGTAAATTAACTTAAACACCCCCGAGCATTGCTTACTAAGAATGAATGTGTGGAATGGATTATTATTCAAGAACACCACCACCATTGTCAACTACAGAGACTGCTTACCAATATAACATAGACTTACGTACGCAACCAACCAACATTCGTTTCGACAGATTTTCTTTCAATAATACATCAGTTATCATGATTATTGAGCCAAACTATCGTCTATATTATACAATTCATGTCGTCTGCATTACATTTTCATTCAATAATAAATTAGGTGGGACTAATAAGTGAAAATTTTACCAATTTCAAAGACAAAACGTTAGAGTTGTTAACTCATCCCGATCACAAGGAGAGGTTCCCTATGGTGATGTAAAGTTGACCCTTTTTGCCAATTGATTGAGTGAATAGTCTCAATTTAGATTTATGAAAAGTACTATATCATTAAAGATTAAAACATGTTTAAAATCAAATACATAATCGACAAGTAAACACGATTGAACAGCAAAGATGATTAATCGATATGCTCGTGCTCGGAAGTTAATCGGACCCTTAAACCCAAAATAAGAAAGGAAGAGTACATGATTGAACCCGAGCCCAATTGTTAAACCATCTCTCTTCTACCGTATCTAATTGTATGCCGTCTCAGCCATAGCTGATACACCACCATATGAAATGCATCGTACGGCTGTGGTGAAGAGTTCCATACCAAATGCTGACTCGCCGTCACAGCGAATCCCCTCATTCGCTCATACCGATCTTTACTAATATCAACCAAAACCTTCTTCAACTCCCCTGCGCCGCCACGTGTCCCAACAAAGACCGCCATCTCCGACCACCGCAATATGTCCATCAACGGCAGATCCTGAATCGGACGGTCCATAATCACCGCCGGTACGCACCCCAACGACATAGCCTCCGCCATCCACGTCACATCGCCACCGTAGATATACACACAGAACTTACTGTTTTGAAGTCTTCCCAAGTCATCCAACGGCTCAGATTCAACGACAAAGTCTTGATCATCATTCAATTCGTTGACCAAGCTTGACTCAGTCTCGCCATCCCATTCCAGGTAACCCAGAAACGGCGTCGTGTTATTGACCGGCGCGTGAGGTAGAGCAAATGGGGAAGGGTTGAAAGGAGGTAAACTTATGTCCTTGTGGGGGACAAAGTTACCGGAATTAGTCGGAAAAACGGTGATCTGAATCGAGTTTTTCTTCAATTCCAGGAGGTTTCTGTCCGAAGAGAATTCTATGCCGGCGTTTGAGAGAAAGAAATGATCGGCCCCAAGTGTACGGTCCCAGTAAGGATGGTTTGTCCTAAGGTCTTTGACAAGACGACCTAGAGAGCGCGTGGAGACATCTGGAGAGACGGGGATGAAGAACAAGTTAGCCTCGTTGGGATTCTGGGTGATGAATGGGCTGTTGACGAGGGAAGTGTGGAAGAGAGAGAAGGGTGGGGTTGAGGAAGAGAAGGGTATGGGTGTGGTGTAAATGAAAATCTTGAAAGTGGAGAGCATGTTTTGGTAATTTGGGAGGAGGGTGGTGGGTGAGAGGTAAAGGGAAGTGGAGAGGGGTTTGGGTGGACGGAGGTGGTGAAGAGAGAGAGGAGGAGGAAGAGGAGGAGAGAGAGTGGAGAGACGGCCATTGGGAGGAGCTAAGGAAAGGTTTTGGAAGAAGTGAGGTGTTTGGAAAGTTGAAGGACGGAGGTATTAGAATCTGCTAGCTGTATTTAATGTCATGAGGTCAATCCCAGGAGCTCTGCTGTGCTCGGTGGATTGGAATGTCCGATGAACACGCGCCATTCTCAGCATGGTCTTAACGTTTCTTTACAAATACCCATTAAATTCTATCATTTTTATTTTATATTAATGACGTGTTATTTTTTATATTAAAAATTTTTTAGCCATACTGTTATCTAATTTATCATATCTTCGTCAAGGACGCCTCTTTTATTATAAAAAAAAAATCACTTATGGATATTTATGAAAAAAAATAATACTTGTTAGTAATTTTTTTTTTGTTGTTAAGACAATTTAAATTTTGGGTAAATTCCATTTTGCTCTTGAAAAGATATAAACATTCTTAGGTTACTTGTCGAATAATTAATTTTTTCATATTGTCTCTTCAAAAAAATAAAAAAGTTATATTGTGGTTCACCATTTTATTTAGGGGTGTTCACCCTATCCTACAGGTAGAAAATATTGTCTTCTGTCTTCTTATCCGATACTTTATGGAAGAATTTTTTCTTAACCTATCCTACTCGATTAGGCATGATATTCCTACTCGACTTCCTACCCAATTAATCGAGTAAACATTTTTGTAACTATTAATTTTTGGATCATTTTAACAATTCAATTAAATAACATGCACCAATTTAATAACATAATAAATCAATAACACTAAAACCTAAAACAACTATAATAACAATTATAATAAAACATAATAAAATATAAACATCAATATATCATAATTGTTACACAAATACAATCAATTATTTTAAGTTTAAACCATATGAAACACATTAAAATCATAACTACTCCAATAGTTCATTAGTTCACCACAAATCATGTAAGCTACACAAAAAATAAGTCTATATTTTTGCAATTCAAACATCCACAACAATAATAATGTTATAATATAAATTATACTACACAAATACTCTTATAATTACTAAAAAAATATAAAAAAATTAAATATATTTTTTGCTGATAGGGGTAGAGTAGGAATGCAAAAGTTAATAGGTATTCCGCATTCATACCCAATTTAATTGGAAGACCAAAATTTTTCTACATTCTTACCCGATTTTTGCGGCTAGCCGTTAAGTAGGACAGGATAAGGTCGGGGGTAGGGTAGAAAATTGTAGCCAATTGAAAATTTGAACACCCCTAATCTTATTTTTGTTTGTTTGTCCATCTGTTTTATGATTCTTAATTAATTGATTTGACACCAAACAAACGAAATAATCAAACAGAAATAAGACAACATGCTAATTTCACTTTGCACCGCAAAAAATACTTTGATTTTTAATTTGTACTCTTAAATATTAAAAATTTTAATTTGTACCCTCAATGTTATAAATTGGTAATAATGTGAATCTCGCCCAAACTGTCATAAATTAAAATACATGAGTTACAAGTGCTTTGAGCATGAGGATGAGATGTGTTTATCATTACAAATGTTCGTCTATTATCAATTTGATATCATTTTATGAATCGAAAATAAGATTTCATAATTTTCGTTAACTAAATAATGATTAAGTCTATCATATATAACTCATATGAGACGCCAACAGTCTATAAATATTGGACAAAAATCTATGATTGAAAAACTTGTAATTCATGCATTTCAATTTATGACGAAAAATTGAACGACAATTTGGGTAAGATCCACATTGCTATCAATTCTTAACATTGAAGGTACAAATTCAGATTTTTAATGTTTGAAAGTATAAATTAAGAATCGAAACATCTTTCAGTGTGCAAAGTGACATTAGTCCTAAGATGGTAGACCATTTTACAACATTTTTTTTTATTTGAGGGGTCAATGTGAGGAATAAATCATTCAAAGAGATAAATTGAGATTTTTTTATATCTTTCAGGAGACAAAATAAAATTTTCTTTAAATTTTTACTTAAATTTGAGTTAACATTTGAATAAAAAATTGATTAGATATAAGGCTCTCCAACAATTAAATTCAAATTTAAAAGGCAACAAACTCAAATTTAAAGTTGGATATGAGTTTTGAGTAAAAATTTGTGTCTCCCTTCATTTTATATGAGTTTTGGGTAAATGACTAGAGGTTGTTTTTAATGTGTTTTTATTCATTTAAATTTGAGTAAGGGTAATCAGCAAAAAAATAAATTGAGTAAGGGTTTGTGTAAGAATTGGAGATGACTAGTGAAAAGTAATATCAGATTAATAAAAATAAAAGTAAATATTGGACGTAATGGTGATATCAGGTATTATTGACACTTAGTATCATCAACTAGTAAAAAAATATTAAATAAGATTGATAAATCTCACCATTTTAACATGACATAAAATAGCAAAACCCACTATTTGCACATATAGTTTATAATTGGTTGGTGACATCTCGTAATATTAATGATATGTCGTTGTTACATTAAATATTATCATAATAAAAAATAAATAATTTTTATATGAATAATAGTTAGTGTAACAATTATATCATGTTATCAACGTCACATGATGTTATCGGCCAATAATAAATCAACCAACATATAAGTAAATGAATCTTATTTAATTTTGTAACTATCCTGTCTATGTAATAAAATAAGGATGTAGAATTCATTTTGTCTGCTTGTAAGTTTGTTTTTAAATGATGTTGTCATATAACAATAAAAATATAATATTATCGTTACATTAAATATTAAAAAAAATTTAGCCACACCCAATATTTCAATCACCCCTTTTCTAGTTTATCATATCTTTAAGGACACTTATTCTATTTCTGAATTTTTACTAACATTCTCCTGTTAGATTAAAGATGTTAATTAGAATAAAATTTGTACTAATGGTATATTTTAGACAAATATTTTTTCACACCCCTTTTAGGTAGACATATCTTTAATGAGGTTATCTCTATTTTCCAAATTTTTGTATGTATTAAAATTTAGGCTTATTAAAATTTGATTCGAACTAATTAAAATTTAAGTAAATTAAAAATTATATATTTTTTATGTATTAAAATTTAAACCGATTAAAATTCTATTCGAGAATTAAATCAAATTTTAATCAATTCGCATTAAATTTTAATTGGCCTGATTTTTTATAAATTAATTTTTTTTAATTGACTCAAATTTTAATATAAAATATAAATTTTAATCAACTCGAATCGAATTTTAATAAATAAAGAATATAAATTTTAATCGATTCAAAGTGAATTTTAATCGGGGATAATAGTTCAAGTATAACTCAAATTAGCTCGAATTTTAATACGTAAAAAAATAAAATTTAATCAATTCGAATCGAATTTTAATCAACTCAAATTTTAATATATAAAAAAGAGAATTTTAGTTGGCTCGAATTTTAATATATAAAAAAATAAATTTTAATCGATTCAAATTTTATGTAGAAAAATTATTTGAGATTTATGTAGGAATAATTTTAGTATTTTGGATAATTTATTTTTGTTATAAATGGTGGTTTAATAACAGTGATACTTAAATATAAAGTAAAATTAGTGTTAGTGATATTTTTAATAATAAAAGAAATGTTCTTGAAAATATGATAAACTAAAAACACTGATGGCCAAAATTTTTCGTTAAATATTTAATCATTAATATCATTATAAAATAATACTATATCATTTAGTCTATGTTTTTATTTTTTTATTCTTTTGAAAAGTCCATGAAATAGATTAAGCTATGAGTGACACGCGCTATGACTCAAGTTTTTTGTTTACTTTTCAAGGCGAGGGTGATGCACGTGATGTTTGTGAGCAGCCAAACCACCCATGCATCATAGCATATGCATGACGACATGCCATGAATCATGGCTATGAGGGTTAGTTGATGGATTGAAGGAACATCAGGGCAATTGGAGTAAAGATTCACCAACTCAAATTGTAATTCAATTTTTCCCTGGCCTAGCTGGTTCATCCTAGACTAGACTTGAGGAAGAGATTTCTCCCGTGAAATAAATTATTGCACCTACGATCTAACCAGTTCAAAGAGAATCATTTTCGAGAGCGCTTTATCTTTTTTGAACGTAATATACAACTCTCCGTTGTACAGCGCTCTCTAAGTGTACTTTTATTGGATAACTATACCCTCAAGCTCAAGGTTTTAATTGATAAAATTATTTCCAATAACTATCAAATTGTATGGTACTTCTATATTGAAATATCATTTTTAATCCCCTTCAACTAAATTATTGAGTTTTTTTTTTCCCATACAAATGGTATTATAACTGGTTAGTAGTTTATTTTGTGGAGCGGGAGAAACTCTTAGTATGTCCCCAACAACTAGAGATACGCTTATCTTGCTCATGCTCATAAATTCGAGTAGAATTAAGGGCAAATTCTGACAGGTACATGAATTGCGATCCCTCGATTTATACACTAGTTTAATTATGACTAGTGCACCGATAGAAATTCAAAACCACACCAGAGATTTAGATACAATTTATTCAAGCAACTAAAATCCGTTTTATGTGCATGTCGTGGCAACAAACATGCAAAAAAGTTTCTTTTGGAGGCCTATTATCACAATTACACGAGTTGAGTTAATTTAAAAGCTTCGATCCGATTATCCAATAAATTTCTTTCATTCAATTCACAAACTCAATTCGAATAAATCAATTAAGCTAGATTTTAATAAGTCACATCTAAATTTGAACACAATTTCTATTAAATAATCACTCAATTAAATTATATAGTTGAATAGGTACATCAATAATTCATATTAGATAATAATCCAATCAGATATTGATATATACAAACTCTATTACGTGAAATATTATACATTAGATTTGGATACTAATACAGAATATCGATAAAAAATACCACATTATATTTGGATTCTAATACAGATTATCAATAAAAAATATCAATTTCCAATCGACTTCAAATTATGATGAAAATCCAATCCACTGCCATGTGTGAATAGAGTACTATATCAATATGAAGGAAGCAGAGGAAAAACATTCACCCAATTGAGTAATGGTGATTTCATCTTCAAAATGAAAGAAAAGTATTTGGAAAGTTCATTGAGGTAGTAGGCCATTATTTTTTTGAGGAAAATTTCTTGCTTCCAAAAAAATGGTAGTCAAATATCGGACTCTAATTACCACATAATTAAAGAATTCTTCAATTCATTTTTCATGGCGATGACCTATCCACGTTACTAAATTCAGGGCAGGCAAAACCTTTGTTTACTTGCCCTACTCGATTTAGAAGTGGAACCTATCTTGACGCGATTAAGTGAATTCCTATCACCTTCAAGGTTACCCTAGAAAATGGAGTGATCCATGAAATTAAAGTGGAGGAAGCCCCCACGAAAACCCTGAACCTACTCTAATTGAAAATTTGCTGGTAATGGAAGGTCGGAAGAAGAAGAAGACGACTACTTCGAAAAGAAAATTGTGAAACACCTCTATCAGAGTCTATTAGAGGAGGAGGAGGAAGAGTCTCAACTTCTAATTCTTTTATTGCACTTTCCTCTGAGCTCCCAAAAGAGCTAGAAATCTCCCATTTATGTAAGGTTGGGTAAGCAAGGACGATAAGATAAAAGAGCCAGAGAGGAAGACTATAGAGACTAAATTGAATTCTACAACTGTTGCTGATCAATCTTAATCAAGAGAGGGAAATAGAAAGAAACTTGATGATAGATTATGCCAAATGAAGGATTCATGTGCAAAGATGGGTATACTTCATTTCCTGCTGTTAATTCTCCAATTGAAAAATGAAGCTTCAAAACGCTTCAAAGTTTGTAAGCTGAAAATGAGTTGTGGTGAAAGTGTTTTGAGATGGAATACTTAACGGCAGATAGGACTTATAATCGAGCCGAACTTGTTAAATTGATTTTTTTTTAAAAAAAAATGAGTCAAAAAAATTATTCAAACTTGACTCGTTTAAAAAACAAACCGAATTCAAAACGAGCCAAACCCGAGCCTAAAAAATTATTCAAACTTCCCAGAATTATTATTAAAATATAGGATGCCATATCTAGTAACATCATCAAGGGGAAGGAAACAGTTAACAAATATATCTATCTATCTACCTATCTAATATTACTACCAAGAAGTTGAATTTCAACTTATAAAAATACGACAACGGTCAAAATTAATCCAATTTTTATCTAGTTTAATCCAATAGTACGAAATACATCTCATTTTTTTTTTTCCGCTTTCAAACATTATTTTTGTTGTACAGCCCTAATGTCAGAAGGTCAACCAACACAAACTAAAATATCAAACAACCCTTAATCTACACCTATCTCTCAATTTCTCTCTGTTCATTTTAATTTTGTTGGGGTTATACATTTGCCTTATTCAGCTTCATAATTGAAAATATAGATTTGAACATGTGCCAAAAGTAAGATTAATTCTTAAAATTCTTTTTATCTTAAATGAGCATAACTTTTTCTCTTCTCCATATCCAGGTGAGCAAGAAGGGTTCACTGTAAACATAACAATGCAATAGGATTCAATCAATTTCAAATACTAATTCCAATGTATTTGAGAAGAACGGTCCGTGTTTTTTTCATTTTTCATCCAAGGTTAGAACTTGAAATGTTTGTCTTGAAGCAAACAATCTGAACAACTATCATATTATGTGTAATCAATGAAAACCAAATTGAGAGGCTTACCCAAAAACTGCCCGAATCTAGCTTTGAAACCATGTTAAATCATCCAACCAAAAACAAAATGGCAATGTGCGGAGAGGCCCACAAGAGACAACATATTAACTTAGGGGTATTGTTAGCAATTGGGGTAAGCTCAAGTACATTCAGATGATTATCCTGATTATTGAGGCTCATACTGAACTCCCTAGGATCTGTACACCTTTCAGGTTTACAGTGAACGTCACAATGTGCAATGATAAAGGGCATACAATATATGACATGGTATGAGCAATAATAATCAATGTGATTGATGTCAAAATCTGACACTTCTCAAAAAAAGGTTTTCACATGCTGCATACGCTAGCACTCACGTCGAGGCACGCTGGCCTTTGTAATGGTGCTTCTAACAAGCAATAGGGAGGAAAGAAAGAGGCTACTTCATTAAAAGAACGAGGCTACTTCATTAAAAGAACCATCTCAGTACTACAAAAAGAAAGATCATACCAACATTAACATTTGAGGAAGAATGCAAGGTGCCGAGTTTCTAAGCATCTCCCACTTGGAACTGCCTTCAGAGCCGGACAAACAACTTAGGCCACGCAATGTAATTGCCAGCATCAAGCCCACCAAATAGTTTAAATAACTCCTTGCATTTTGACATCAACATTTTCAAACATGAAAGTTTCAAAGAGAACAAAACTATCCACTTCCCAGGGAATATAAGCTGTCAACGTAGAGATATGACCGAATGCATCTCCCCAAATCAAAGTCGATGCCCATATATTCACTGATTAAGTTTCCAACTCTTCTGATGCTCTTTGTCTTAAAGTTGTATAAGAGAAGGCCTTCCTTCTCTGGCCTAATCAATATTTCCTCATCGCAACCATCCCCTGAAGGAATATATTCTATTTTCAGTAAAGGTCTGTTTACACCAAAGATATCAATTATGTACTCCTTTACCCAAATTTGATTGCTTTGATCTTTCATCATCCAAATATCAATTGTCGGCATCCATGGACTGAAGTCCACTAAACACAGCGAATCTTTTATCAACAGCAAACACACTGTATCATGGCATGAGCCTAAAAAAGCTTTGGGAGTCAAAACAATTTCATGTTCTTCTCTAGCCAAATCAAACCTGTGTATTTTCATGGGATTTCCCTTATTTTCATTTTTATCGACAATCCAATAAAGTGATCCATTCATGCAGAGTGGGAATCTATGAACGCTGCGAAAAAGAGGGGAATTTCCTACGACTCTCCAAGAACCATGAGGATTTGGTCCACCTTCTTTTATAGTAAAAATTTGACACACAATCTTTTCGATATGATTGATATCAGTATCCGAAAACCAATGGACAATCTTATACTCATTGGTAGAAGGCAAATACCCAAAAGCAAAATTATAAATGTCACGCAGGTTAAAGGAATATGGAACTTCTAAAAGTTCTTGGGTGCTCGGATTGCAAACATAGATATGTTTAGAACATACGAAACACAGCAAACCTTGACAAAACTGCCATGTCCACACAGGACTGCTTATATGCTTGGTGAACTGGTTCCGCAACTGTCCTCGTGTGTCGAAGGAAGAGAAGCAGATACCGTGGTATGAAATGTAGAAAAAGAACAAGAATGGAGTTGAATTGGAGAGATTGCGGTGTAGAGTTTGAAGAACAGGGTCGAAAGGAGAGAGAATGGCGCGCCAGGATTTGGATATGCACCTCAATTGGCAGATGAATTTCGCGGGGAGTCGAGAGAGTATCTCGATGATGAGATCACAAGGAAGACCCACGCCGTTGGTGGTTTCACTTTGTTGATCTTGGTAATGGTTGGGGTTAGGGTTTCTCTGCATTCGTACCATGGTTGCTAGACCTAGAAGGAAATCATTTCGGGGGTGAATTCGTTTAGGGTTTTGTAGGCTTTTTGCTTTTGGTCAGGATGGTTTTGTAGGCTTAGGCCCAGTGCCTCTTACATTGTCATTAAGTTGTAATTACGATAATTAATTATTTTTTTGGGTGATATTTTCAAATATCACACTAGTTTTGCAGTAATAATTCAGAAAAATCAAAGATTAACCTGTTAATATTAAGTGATTATGTAATTAATAAAAAATTAAAAAGGTGAGATTAAACTAAAGATTCTAACATTAATCTAAACTAAATTAGTCCGACCAAAGCCTAACACTCCATATTTAATATAAACCAATGTCGTATGATAGATGGTGTTAAATGAGACATTACTGGTATTGATATTCAAAATGACATATAGGCTAAAAATTAACACATTGATGTACTGTTCTACTATGGCAGTCGCAATTGACAAAATTAATGTCAATGTTACAAGTAAGTAGACTAATAGATATATCACGTATTTTTTTTGTCTCAACTATTTTTTGAACAAGACCTTCAATTCCTAACAAATTTGAAAATTCAATACTAGAGCGCATATCAATAATATAACTATTTAGTTGATCAGAAAATATCATAAACTCTAATGAAGAAAGTTTTTTCGGATAAAATTGAGCAAGACGAACCAATTTCTCCTTCTCTATTCTCTTATAATTTGAAAAGCCCGAGCTAACAAATGTTTTTCCACCCGATTATTTTTCCATATTTGATTTAAAAAGATAACAACACAAGCAAAATGCTGCATCTTTTGTTACACTATACTCAAGCCAGTTACCAAACTTTGTTAAACTGTCGTTGTTTAACACCAAATCATTTTTTGTGAAAAATTATGATCGTGAGGTTGACAAAGACCCTTTTGTAGATAAACTCTACGAATTTGATCTCAATTATTAGGATTATAATCCATAATCTGAGGCTGTAGTCCGAGATTTGATGGAAGATCCGTTAAATTAATATCTACATAACTTTTCTTTGAAGAATCATTACCTTTGTTTAGAGGAGGTGATAACTCTAACTCAGACTTTCTCTTGAAGTACTTCTTCATGACTGTTTCAAAAAATTATTCAAGAAAATGAGTTTTTACATTCATTTTTGCAATTGATTAAACAAACTATTTTATCAATTTAATCGCTAGTATTCTAAAGAAGATAGTGTATTATGAAGTAAGTACAAATACAAATGTATAAAAATATCAAATTCATAATTTTATTAAATTCAAGCAATATCATTCAAAGTATTAAAAATAGGTTCGGATTGAGAGTTACCAAAAAATATTTTTTATTGTAGACTCAATAACCGTAATTCAAGGTCTTCAAGACATCCCCAATTATTAATCCGAGCTATATCCAATTAAGAAAATAATTAGGACAAAATGTACAAAAAAATAAATTAGTAAAAAATGCATAAAAATTCAAATAAGGGTAAAATGCACAAAAATATAAATTAGAGTTAAAAATTAAAATGCACAAAAAATAGAAAATTACCAAGACTAATTATTTTAAAATTTTAAAAATAAAAAATTAATTTATTTTGTGTGTGTGTTGTGTGCAGTCTACGCGTGTGTGCGTGTATTGATCGATCGATCAATCGAGGGAGAGAGAATATTTACTTTTGGTACTTGTCGCCTGTCGGAGGTGGCCCTGGTGGGTGCAAGGAAGACAAAAAACTCAAGGACTCTCTGTGTTTCTTCTGGCCACTTGGGGGTGAGTGAAAGAGAGAGAGAAAAAAAAGAAAAAGAAGAAAATATAAGATAAATGCTACTTGTTAGGTGGTGCCTATCAAGTGGGCAAAAAATTTTATTTTTTTTATGAAAATTGAGATTAAGTCTTTTTGAATAGACTTATAATAACTTGAGTACGTCAAAAAAATTTATTTAGTGATAAATTTATTTTTTATCTTACTAATAAGTATTTAAGTCTATTATTTTTAAAATTCTAAAAATACCCTTAATAACATTATTCTATTCAATTATAGAAACTTTAAAAATCTTAAAAGTAGTTTTAAATTAATTTTTTAAATTAGAAATTAGTATCCTTTAATTCAGTCCTACATTGAAATTTAAATTTATGTTCTCGCTCTCTCTCGTTAGAAAAAGATCATCACTCCAATACAACAAATCTTTTTTTGTAGATATTATTTCTTCTTCCATAACATCAAAATCAATAGGGTTTAAATCATCAACAACTACCATATTTTTTATTGCGTTCCGGTCATCATGAACTTCTCTGTCATTAGTTTTCTAAAAAAAAAAGGTTGAAAAACTTGCGTAATTTGTACGATCAAGGCAAATGGATTGCTGGCTTCGTTGAGAAAATGGAGGAGGCCACAAGCTTGCTGGCAGAATTATGGGCAATTCTCAAAGGCCTTTGAGAATTGTTTGGGTGATACTTCTTTTCCATAATGGTTTGGGTGATACTTCCATAATGGGCAAACCATTATGGAAACAGACTCTCCCGAAGCTGCTAAGCTGCTGGCCAAGGACCCGGTGGCCACGCACCCCAACAGGAAGGTCATCACGCAATGTAGAAGGCTTATGGAGATTAACCACATTCTCATAATACACACCTTCAGGGAAGGCAATCAGTGTGTTGATCTATTGGCCAATCTTGGCGTCCAACAGTCAGATCCCCTTCCCCAGTTGGCTAATCTTCTGTTAGCAAATATGGCAAGTGTGGCCTTTGCTAGGAATTCTGTTTAATGTTTGAATTTATTTTCCGATGTACCAAAAAAAGAAGGGTTAACCACCCAGTGAGGAGATAAGTTGGTCTTTCTAGCCTGAGTTGCAACCAGATGAGCTAACTGATTAGCTTGTCGGTTCACAAATTGAAATCTGATCGAAGGAACTTTACTAGAATAAAACCAAATATATCCCTTTGAATAGGCTCAACCTCTCTTAACAAAGAAATTGGGCCTCGTTGGATAGCTCCAATCAACACCTTAAGAGTCAGATTCAATAATAACTTCATGAAAATTCTCTGCAATTGCACTAGCGTATGCACATCGAACAACCCATGCTTCTACAGATAAAGTTGAGGAGGCATGTATTGTTGCACGAGCAATGCTATAGGGATCTTATTTGAAAACTTAATGATGTGACTTCAATATAATCATTAAATTATTTGTGAGTTTTAATGTTAAATGGAGCTTACAACCAATTTAATAGTTGTATTAAATTAGGTCTTTAGATTAGGTCTCCAAATTGGGTCCAAAATAGCATTTTCCATTGTTGCATAGGCTCCGGTGATCAAAGTTCCCAACTGGTCACGTACCAAAACTTCAAACGCAGCTCGTTGACTGCTTTCCAAAAAAGCCCCATCACAGTTAATCTTAAGCCAACCTGGTGGAGACAGGTTCCAGACCAGTTGAGCACTCTGTCCAGGCTCAAATGGCTTCCGCAATCTCCTGCTCTAAAAAACTTCAGGTACAGCAACAATTGCTCAAATTCTAAGGACTAAAATACTACTAGTTTAATAAACCATAGGGTCCACTGGTTTAAATTACCAGACTACCCTTCAATCAATTATCAGTTCAATCCATGGCCAGCCTCGCTCAATATCACTCGATCATGACATGAAAACAACAATATCCTAAAAGTCTAATTCAGCTTCACAATTGAAAATAAAGATTTGAACATCTGTCGGTAGAAGCCGGAACAATGGTCATAAAAACTAGGACCTTTTCGTTACCAAAAACAGCAACAACATACGAAGATTAACGTTCCTGCTAAGGGCACAGGATGTAACAGCCTGCCTGCACCAAGCAGGCCACAAAGTTTATTAATGCTGCTTTCTAATCACACATGCCTGTTTAACATCAACATTTTCAAACGTGGACGTTTCAAGGCAAAGAAATTTATCTAGCAACCAGGGAATCTAAGCTGTCAAAGTAGAGATGTGGCCAAAGGTATCTCCCCATATCAATCTCGATCCCAGTATTTTCATTGCTAAATTTTCCCATTTTTCTGATGCTCCTTGTCTTAATGTTGTAGAGGAGGAGCCCTTCTTTCCGTTGCCCAATCAGTATTTCCTCATCACGACCATCCCCTGAAGGAATGTAATGAATATTTCTAATAGATCTATATTTGGTGAACATATCAAAGCTGTACTCCTTGACCCAAATTTGATTACTTTGGTCTTTCATCATCCAAATATCAACGTGTGATCTGCATTGCTTGAAGTCCACTAAACATAGCGTCCCTTTAATTGATAGCAGGCGAACACAGGTATCGAAAGGGCCTGAATAAGCACGGGGACACAAAACGGTTTCATATTCTTCTGTAGCCAAATCGAAAGCATAGATGTTCATAGGGTCTCCACTATTTCTGTGTTCATCTCCAAACCAATAAATTGATCCATTCAAGCAGATTGGGAATCTACTATCAATGATAAAATGAGGGGAATTTCCGATAACTCTCCAAGAACCTTGAGCATTTGATCCTCCTTCTTTTAAAGTAAAAATTTGACACACAATCTGGTAGACACCATTGCTATCAGTTTCCACAAACCAATGAACAATCTTATATTCATTAGTGGAGGGCAAATACCCAAGAGCAAAATTATAAAGAACACGAAGCTTAATGGAATATGGAACTTGTAAAAATACTTGGGTGCTCGGATTGCAAACATAAACATGATCCTCACATATGAAACACATCAAACCTTGACAAAAACGCCATTTCAACACGGGACTGCTTATATGCTTCGTGAACTGGTTCCGTAACTGACCCTGAGTGTCGAAGGAAGATAGGCAGATATGGGGGTATGAATTCTCGGAGAACATCAAGAGTGGGGTTGAATTGGAGCGATTGCGATGTAAATTTTGGAGAAGAGAGTCGGGAGGAGAGAGAATAGAGAGCCAGGGTTTGGAGACACACCTAAATTGGCAGATGAATTTCGCGGGGAGGCGAGAGAGTATGTCGATGATCAGATCGCGAGGAAGACCCACACCGTTGGTGGTGCCGCTATGTCGATCTTGATGAGGGTTACTTTTTCTCTCCATTGGTTCCATGATTGCAAAGAATGAAGTGTTTTTGGGGGCACGAAGAGTCCGATCCTTTTAATTCTTTTTTTAGGGAGTACTAAATTTGTCATCATTTAATATATTATATATAAATTCTCTAAAATTTATATAATACATAACATTTAAACTCTATAATCAATATCCGATAATAAATTATAAGTTATATCTAAATTCTTTAAAGTTTATACGTATGTAATATTTAGACACCTCAAATGATGTACAACTCTTTGGATTTTTTTTTCCTACATTAATCATTCCTCCAAACACAAGAGTGAGATGAAAATAATGAACTCACATCCTATCAAAACCTCAATTCAAACATGGTATAGTTGGAATAAGATAGTGGTTGGCCAGTTATTACCATAGTATCAATTATCAAATCACTTCCCATATTTATACTCAAACCAAACACACCCCAAATGTTGTTGAATCCTCATTAAGAGAGGGGCATAGGAAGAGACTTCATGGTATATTGTCCCAAATGAACAACTTGAAAGTTTGTTAGCTGAAAATGAGTTGTTGAGAAACCTTTATGAGATGGAAAACTCCAAGGCAGGTACCTCTACTCCTTTTAGGATCATAATGCTAAGGCTCACATCCATTCCATAAGAAGGAAGAGTAAGCCAAGAGTTTCTGGTGAAACACCCACCGTTAGTTTCTCGTGAAACACCCACCAAGAGTTTCCACTTTGACTCACCATTAACATCCAAAACCACTAAAGAACAATCAGGGCCAGAGTCAGGAATTTATATGTTGGGCACTAACTATAAGTTTAAAAATTTACCTTCTTAAGAATTAAAATTAAAGATAAATAAAAATTTTAAATCATATATAATACCTAAAATTTTATTGACAAAAGAGCCAAAATAACCAATATATATGGGGTACAAAAACAAAAAAAATCTGCAAAACAAGGTTCTAATTAGACCCTTTTACAAAACATGAGACTAACTATAGTCTTTTACAATTGACCAAGACGTGATTTCATATTTTGAAAGCGTTGCATGATAACATCATTATTAATGCAATCGAAAATGTCCTTCTCTATGTATACAATTAAATTATGTGTCATCCATTAATCCCCCATTCAATTACGCAAATTGATTCTTCACAATCTTCATAGCTAAAAATACTCTCTCTACTATGGCAGTCGTAACTGACAAGATCAATGTCAATGTCACAAGTAAGTAGACCAATAGATATATCACGTGTTTTTTTTGTCTCAACTATTTTCTGAGCAAGATCTCCAATTCGTAACAAATTTTAAAACTCAATACTAGAGCGCATGTCAATAATATAACTATTCAGTTGATCAGAAAGTATCATGAACTCTATTGAAGAAAATTCTTTCAGATAAAACTGGGCAAGACGAACCAATTTCTCCTTCTCTATTCTTTTTTAATTTGAAAAGCCCGAGCTAACAAATGTTTCGCCATCCAATTATTTTCCCATATCTGGTTTAAAAAGATAACAACACAAGCAAAATGTTGCATCTTTCGCTACATTGTACTCAAGCTAGTTACCAAACTGAGAAAATCAAACTTTGTGAACCGTTGTATTTTAACACCAAATTATTTTTTGTGAAAAATTATGGTCGCAGGGTTGACAAGAACCCTTTTCTAGATAAGCTCTACAAATTTGATCTCGACCATAAGGATTATAATCCATAATCCGAGGCTGTAGCCCAGGATCTGATGGAAGATCTGCTAAATTAATATCTACATAACTTTTCTTTGAAGAATCACCACCTTTGTTTAAAAGAGGTGATAACTCTGACTCAGATTTTCTCTTGAAGTACTTCTCCATGATTGTTTTAAAAAATTATTCAAGAAAATGAGTTTTTACATCCATTTTTGCAAATGATTAAACAAGCTATTTTGTCAATTTTATCGTTAGTATTCTAGAGAAGATATTGTATTATGAAGCAAATACAAGTACAAATGCATCAAAATATTCAATTCATAATTTTAATAAATCTAAGCAATATCATTCAAAGTATTAAAAATAAGTTCGGATTAAGAGTTACCAAAAAATATTTTTTACTGTAGACTCAATAACCGTAACTCAAGGTCTTAAAGGCATCCCTAATTACTAATTCGAGCTATAACAAATTAAAAAAATAATTAGGGCAAAATGCACAAAAAAAATAAATTAGGAAAAAAAGCATAAAAATTCAAATAAGAGCAAAATGCACAAAAATATAAATTAGAGTTAAAAATTAAAATGCACAAAAAATAGAAAATTACCAAGACTAATTATTTTAAAATTTTAAAAATAAAAAATTAATTTATATTTTATGTGTGTTGTGTGAAGTCTGCGCGTGTGTGCGTGTGTTGATCGATCGATCAATTGAGAGAGAGAGAATATTTACTTTTGGTACTTGTCACCTTGTTTGTCGCCTGTCGCTGGTGGCCCTGGTGGGTGCAAGGAAGACAAAAAATTCAAGGTCTCTCTTTGTTTCTTTTGGCTGCCTGGGGTGAGTGAGAGTGAGAGAGAGAGAGAAAAAAAAAATGGAAAGACTTGTTAGGTGATGCCTATTAAGTGGGTCAAAAGTTTTATTTTTTTGTGAAAATTGAAACTAAGTCTTTTTGGATTGGCTTATAATAATTTGAGTCCGTCAAGAAAATTTATTTAATGATAAGTCTGTTTTTTATCTTACTAATAAAATACTTAAATCCATTATTTTTTAAAATTTCAAAAAATCCTTAATAGTGTTATTCTATTCAATTATAGAAATCTTAAAAATCTTAAAAGTAGCTTTAAATTAATTTTTTTTATTAGTAATTATACTTAGAATTATTTAAATTAGAAAGTAGGTTGGACAAGTTATACTTCGAATTTTGGCCTAGGACGACAAGAATTTTAGTATTATTAGTTGATACACACGTGCATCGCACGTGAATCATTCTGAATATAAATTATTCTATATAATTATTATCAAAATTTTGTTTATTCCAAAGTTTATGACATTCGTAGAGGAATGAAATTGTGAAGTCACTTGAATTTTGTTATTACTAGATATCAAAAAACAATTCACCTTCTCTCCAACTTCCTTCCTCTTCTCCCTGTTGTTTCATTTGAAGAGTTGTGAAAGAATGAATAAAGCTAATATTGCATCGCCTCATCAATCATCCATAGCTAGTGATGTAGTTGTTGTAAATGATTGGTGATGGTTACTCAAACCTTTAGGTGATGAAGATTACGGGAAGATAATTATATTTTGACAACTGACAAAAAGTATACTTCTTAGAATTTATTTTTAGTTTTTCATAATTCTTGTTGGAAATTTACTAACTCACATTTCTGTGTTGTATGCATACCTTGCGTAGTGGGATAGGAATTCATTCGTTCTTAGCCCCTGAAAACTCAAGCAAAGCCTTTTTCTAAATCAAACATACCTTGCTTTCAATTTGATATAAGATAATTAGATAATAAGTCTAATTTACAAGTATGAACCAATTGATTGTTGTCCACTTCTATTTCAATTGTACAAAAAATGAGGGAAGAATTCTTTCTTTGAGAGCTTTTCATGATTATCTTGTACATGACATGAAACATAATGACTTCCATGGAGAGCAAGGATACTAATACTCTTTTCAAGCATATCCATTTGGCTATCAAAAACAGAATGACTTCCATCAAGTTCAGCCCTTCTGAGACTAATCTACAACTGGCACTCCATTGGGACCTGTTACTTGAATGTTTTGTTTAATTGTTAAATGATGCATTTTGCTAGGTCTTATCCTTTTGTTACCTTGGGTGTTCCTTTGCTTGTATTGGTACACCTTGTTCATCCCCTGTTTCAATATAGTTTATTTACCTTTCAAAAAAAAGACATGAAATTGTTAGTTGTCAAGTTCATATTCGCTAGCAGCTATTCTAGACTTTTAAAGATTTTTCGTTATAGAATAATTTGATGAATTGGGTTATAGACTTGTCTAGAGTTGAATTCACTCAGCCTTAAAAGATAACCCCTTTTTTCCAATGAGAATGGCATCTGTGTGAGTTTTAAATGCATCATGATGGCATTTTTCTATATTTGGATTGAAAAACGGCACAAGAATTAGATTAGTGATTCCAGTTTGGTGTGAGGAGATTCTCACCTTTTTGCTTAATATCATGATTACAACACTATGAAAGTCTTGATCTCAAGCTGTCTCTCAACCAGAAATTCATTCATAGCCAGTTGCTCCTCATAGTCATTGATAGGACTCTTGTATAATGTAGTCTAATTTGTAACTAAGTATTAAATCCAATACTTAATTACAAGATAAAGAATTATTATAAAACACAAAACTTTAACAAATACTCATAAAAATAAGACACGGAGAAAATTTCCATCACCATCACCATCACCACGAACCCCCCTCAAAAATGGATTGAAGTTAAGATAGATTTGTGTTCAAGTGGCACAAGACCTCCAATTGATCATAGGGCGTATTCTACCCAAAGGCACAACTAACTATTATAGGAGGATGCCCACAACCCTTCCTCAACCCAAAAAAGTTGTTGTAGCAATTCAACCATTGAATGTCGTCTAGACTTCGTCATTGTGCAAACTTCTCTATATGGGTGAGTGACAAATTAAGGGCCATTGAAGGGGTCCCAACAGGGTTTTTATGTTCTAGTCTAGTAAAGTCAAATTCCATTTTGCTATTTTTTCTACTTTATCTTGTGTGGTTGTGTGTGTGTTTTCATTCACAAAGGAAAGACCATTAAAAGGATTCAACAATTTTTAACAAATTTAAGTACATTAATTAACAATACATTCATTTTGCATTACTTATACCTCTACCAAGTGCCAACAGAAGTTCATGAACATAAATAGCAATAGAGTGCATGAAGATTCGAATACCCATCACATAATAGACAGGATTTCTAAAGTCAAATTAATAACTATTAACAAATCTTATCTAACATATAATTTCGCAGAGATGTCCAATCAACTTAAACATACAAAAAACCAATACCAAAACATAAATTCAAAATCCAATTCAACAAAAGATCACAAAAAACTATTATGAGAAGACCCTTGGAGAACCAAACCCCAAAATAGGAAAACAAATTTGAAACTCAAAACAAGTATGAAATTAGATGAACAACATAGATGCAATGAGAAACATAAACCTAAACACTGGCATCGACATGATTTTGTTGTCTATTTTTGGTCTTCCTCTAACCATCCTTTGGTGCTTTGGTCAGCTGTGTTTGACTGCGGTTTTTTTTTTGATCAAATTCATACCACAGAGAGGTTAAACAACCAAAAAAATGTTAATATTATGTAACCAAAGAAAAAAGGTTTTGAAGGCTCACTCAGAGAGTTGTTGGATCGAATAAACCACCTTGGGTAGTTATGAAACTCGAATGGAATCCTCGACAAGGATGATATAGTTATGTTAGTGGAGGGTAAAGGTGAAATTTTTTTTTTTCAAATACACTGATATCTTAAAGTAGTATAGATAAAATATTAAAGTGAAAAAATAGTCGAACTAAGGTGGACAAATCATCCAACCCAACGATAGTTAAAACAAAGTTAAAAGAAACGTAAACTAGCATAATGACAACAACACATAATGTTGTCCTAACTTGTCATAAAAAAATATCTTCAAAATTCGTAATCACAGATGTGCCAAAAAATAAAGTCATCCCACAACTTTCAACTTCCTATTTATCTTCAAAGATTCAACCGTTTCTCTCCTCCATTCAAGACTAGTAATGTAATTTGATTCCACCAATTTTAGTTTAAGGTCAAATGTGTGACAAATAGGGTTGGTTTTGGTTTTGGTTTTGGTTTTGGTGTTGTTGCATCGGGATTTGTGTTTCTTTTTTTCCCCCGAATGAAGACTTGTTGATCGATAGGTTTCGTTCTTGAACAAATGGAGAGCCCTCGCTTGTACCGATGGTTGATAAACTTGTTATTGGAATGGGGCAACATGAAATGTATACAGTTACGATGAACTTTCTTTTAATGATTAATGAGTCAAAATATAGTCTAAATTTATGCAATTCATGTCTTATTTATTACACTTTCACTCCATAACAAATTACTCGGAGCGTGTAAGTGAGAGTTTTAGTAATGTTAAAGATAATACGTCAAAATAATTACCTCATCTCGATCACAAGGTGTTTAGACCATATTCTATAATTTTGGTGAATAAAATAATGAATGACATGTCCGTGGCGGCAAAGATGTTCGTCACGCGATATTTATTTAATCAGTAAAGAAAAAAATAAAGCCAGTCAGACGTGGCTTTTCAGATACAAGGACAGTTACAACCCATGCGTGTAACCATCAATGAAGCAATGCCTATAAAAGAGTCATTTGATTACAGAAAAAATACACGATCAACCCCATTAAAGACCCACAATTTAGGCATTTTAGAATTAGTGTCGAGGCTGAGGCTGATTCATCGATCTGCTCTGCTGTAATCTAAAAACCTTTCCCAGGTTAATAAAAGTTTTTTTCCTTACCTAGGATGGTTGTGCCTCTTGAAGTGCGGGGAAACAACTAGCATCACCTCCAACATCCCAAGTCTCTTATAGTGGTTGAAATTTGGCACTTGGATGAGCAGCAAGACACAATTTTCAAGAAGGCCTATTCGTCGAGATAAGACAAACCCAAAGGAAAAAAGTAACATATTCCTGTATGAATCAAGTCGCCACCTCTAGACGGGGCCTTACAGTTGCCCTGGTAGCACCCATCCTTCTTAAGTTTTTTCAAAGGAAGTGGAGTAACCCTTAAGAAAACCAACAGTAGAACCTAGAAATTTTGATGTAACCACAACTATTGAAGAGAAGATGAACTGAAGACTAAATATTCTAATTACTTCCCAGAATTATCATAAAACAATAAATGCCAAATCTAGTGAAAACATCGTCTCAAGCGGAAGGAGACGGTTACCAAAATCCATACACACACACATTCATATACTATTACACGCGGATAAATAGATATAGATATACACCTATATAGATAGGAGTCTTATAGAAACATTATCGTGCCTAGTTTTAGAGTGACCTAGTTTACATTTGCAATGTTTCATGTAATCATGTGAACAATTATGGCCACACTCATTACATTAAGAAAGAACGAAGGATGCAGACAGCAGGAGTGAAGGCATTATCGTGACAATATAATAATAGTGACATGATTTTGTTTGGTTTTCGCTCTTTCCATTTGAGTTATGTATTCTTCAAAAAATACCACCTAGAAGATAACCAAAACCAATTACCAACACTTAAATTCATGCTAACAACCTTTGCAAATAACACAAAAAAAAATCTATTACAGTTCTTCCAACAATAAAAATAATGAAAAAGAGTTCTTATGGAGAGAATACAAGAATGAAAATGTGACAATTAACTTGAAAACCAAACATGCTTCATAATAAATGAGTTGAGACATCAATAAGCACTGTTTCAAGATCATGCCATGAAAGAAACAATAGCCTTAAACATCTTATTCATAATTCACATCACTAGGGGTGACATAGTTAATTGATTCGAAGGTATGACAAGAGTATTGCTGAGGTTATACATTTGCCTAATTCAGTTTCATAATTGAAAATAAAGATTTGAACAATTCACCAAATGTAATATTTCATATAAAATCATAACCTCAAATTTCAGGTTTATTGCAATACAACTAGGATTCACTCAAATTTTAGGTCTGATTTCTAAGGATATGATAAGAATGAGAGGTGTTTATATTTGCACCCAAGGTTGGAAGGTGAAACGTCCATCTTGAAGCAACCAATTTGAAGGGTTTGTGTTTTAGTATAAACCACAAAAAAAAAAAAATCTAAAAAGATGAAAAAGGGAAGGATATGGTAAAAACCTAATCTCCAAACTTCACAAGAAAGTTTATCTCACAATCCAACATACCTTTTTCATTCATAGGTAGACATTTAAATAAAAGATGGTAAAAACTAATTTAATAACTAACCTAATCCATGACTCCACTAATTTTCATGACAAAAAAAATCCTTGAAAAGGAAATTTCGACTTAGAACTTGGAAGTACAATGTCTCAGAAGTCAGAAGATTATCTCAGTTGTTGAATTTCACATAAAATCATCAGAATATGCGTAATTCGTAACTGCAAGTAATGTTGACATATATATGCATTGATAAAGTGTATACAATTTATAGCATGCAAGAATCAATGTGGCTAATGTCAAAATCTGACAATTTCGAAATTGGTTTTAACAAGCTGCATATGCTTCCATTCAGCATCAACATACCAAGATTAACATTTGAGAAAGATACAAGTCGCAGAAGGTTAACATTCCTGAGCATCTCCTCCTCGGGCATTCCATGCCAGACCCATATGTACCAAGGCCACAAGATAAAATAGCTTGCATTTTGCACACTACACGATTTATAATACTCTTTTCATTATCAAATGGGCATTTTAACATCAATATTTTCAACATGGAAGGTCCAAGGAAGATAAATTTATCTAGCTCCCAGAGAATATAAGCTCTCAAAGTAATGATCTATATATAAAATTCGATGTCAATATTTCCATTGACTAAGTTTCCAATTTTTCTGATGCTCCTTGTCTTAATGTTGAAGAGGAAGAGGCTTCCGTTCTGTTCCCTAATCAGTATTCCCTCATCACGACCATCCCCTGAAGGAATGTATTGCAGCCTTGTAATAGATCTACAATTGGTGAACATATCAAATCTGTACTCCTTCACCCAAATTTGATTCCTTTGGTCTTTCATCATCCAAATATCAACATATGATCCGGATTGCCTGAATTCCACTAAACACAGTGACCCTTTCATTGATAGCAGGCGAAAGGGGTCACGGGAAGGGCCTGAATAAGTTAGGGGACACAACAGTTTTGTATTCTTCTGTAGCCAAATCGAAAGTATATATGTTCATAGGGTCTCCATTATTTCTGTGGTCATTTCCAAACCAATAAATTGATCCATTCAAGCTGATTGGGAATCCACTACCCCAGCAAAAATCAGGGGAATTTCCGATGACTCTCCAAGAACCTTGAGCATTTGATCCTCCTTCTTTTATAGTAAAAATTTGACACACTAACTGTTGGACGTCATTGCTATCAGTTTCCCTAAACCAATGAACGATCTTATATTCACTAGTGGAGGGCAAATACCCAAGAGCAAAATTACGAACACTACGAAGCTTAATGGAATATGGAACTTCTAAAAATTCTTGGGTGCTCAGATTGCAAACATAAACATGATCACGACATAAGAAACACATCAAACCTTGACAAAAATGCCAGTGCAACAAGGGAATGCTTATATGCATCGTGAACTGGTTCCGCAACTGACCCTGAGTGTCGAATGAGGTAGGCAGAATTGGGGGTATGAATTTCTGCCTAACAGCAACAGTGGGGTTGAATTGGAGCGATTGCGATGTAGATTTTGGAGAACAGGATCGGGAGTAGAGAGAATAGAGTACCAGGGTTTGGAGACACACCTGTATTGGCAGATGAATTTGGCGGGGAGGTGAGAGTGTATGTCGATGATCAGATCGCGAGGAAGACCCACACAGTTGGTGGTGTCGCTGTGTTGATCTTGATGAGGGTCATAGTTTCTCTTCATTGGTTCCATGATTGTAAAGAAAGCAGTGCTATCGTAGTGGTTATGTGTTTTGGGGAGGGGGTAAAACAGAGAAACCCAGTATATGATGGGTAAATTACACTCTATACCGTTGAACTATTACCTTTGTTTTACTTTGCACCCTTAATTATAAAATTCTCACATTATATTTTAAGGCCCCGTTTGGTAATACTTTTGTTTTTCGTTTTTATTTTGATATTTAGAGAAAACAAGAAAAAAAAATTCGTTTGATAACCGATTTTGTTTTTCGTTTCTGTCACCGTTTTATAAACGAGGGTCGATTTTCAAAAACAAAAAAAAATCGTTTTTGGTTTTCGTTTTTCGTTTTTGATCACTCCGATAGATAACGGTTGTTAATTTTTTGACGATAAATGCGTATGAGAGTGGTCTGTTATGCCAATTAGCAATTGCCTATTGTACATTTATAAGTCAAAAATCAAAAAAAATACTTATTCATGATTTTGTTCTTCCTAAACTCCAAAATGTTTTCCACTGACCGACCTTCTTTTTTTTCCTAATAACCATTTAGTTACAAAAGAGGTAAAAAGAAATGATACTAGTTACTTAGCGGAAAACTGTTTAGGGTTTTTCTTTCTCATTTGATAGATTTTTAAGTTTGTCGTTATTTATTGGAGTAATGTGAAATAAAATTAATATTTTAAAGTATAATTTGACAAATTTTGTTGTCAAGGGTGTAAGACAAAATAAGGGTAATAGTTTAGAGCGACAAAGTGTAATTTACTCCTGAAGTAGACCAACTCCAATATGAAGTAGAGATAGACGAAATTGTATAAATTGAATTGAAATGGATTAAATTACCCGCGGGATTTATAATTCGACTCGTTATTTCTTACCCTTCCTGCCTTTTTTTATTTTCAATCATTTAAAGAATTATTAAAATTTATAAAAAATTAAAATTAAATTTTTTAAAAAATATTTGAATAAATGATGATTAATTGGTAAGATAGTGAAAAAGTGATTATATTAGTAAAGTGTCGAATGTTGATTGAAGAATACTTATTTTTTATAATTAATTAAGTAAAAATTTAAAATTTATGAAAATTTAGAGAAAAGACTTCTTATTCGTCTCTCCCAAAAAAATAATTTATATATAGATTGATATGAATTGCTTGTAGAAAATAAGTATTTTATAATTTTTAAAATTTATTTATATAATATTGTATGAATTTTTTTACAAATAAATAATTTTTATTAAAATTAATATTAACATCAATACAATACAAATCGAAAATGGCATGTCTTTTTGTAAGAGACGCTAACAATTTTAGTATTATAAAATATTAAGTGACACAAGAGTCAGTCTAACGTGTACAGATTGTCCAAGCCAATGGACGGTTAAACACAAAGTTAAAAAAACATAAACTAGAGCCACGACAACAACTCATGATGTTGTCCAATTTATCGTGATGCTAAAAAAAAAAAAAAAAGAATATCTTAAATTATTAAAATCATTATCAATTGAATTAAAATTGATTCTCAAATCACATCTCATGTCATAGCCGAATCACCCAAACATGCTCAAAATGTTGCTCAATCATCATTAAGAGAGGAAAATATGAAAATTTTGATGATATTTGAGACATTTATAGCTAAACATCTACATTCATTTGCACATAACTCTCTCGTAGTTTTAACTGTTATATTAAATTCTCCTTAACTTAACGAAATGTGTTACACACGCGCTCAAAACTGCATATAAAAATAAAATGTGTTGCAATTAGAACTCATAATTCTAAAAATACCCGTCCCCAACCCAGCGCCCCCCCCCCCTCTCTCCAAACACTCTTTTTTCCCACCAAAATCCACCACCATCGCAGCCCCTCTATCGGGGCCTTACAGTTGAGCCATGGTAGCACCAATCCTTGTTAAGCTTCGTCAAAAGGAAGTGGAGGTTCATTCCATCTAAAAACCTTAATCATGAGTCATAAAAAAAACCAGAGTTTGCATGAATTTAGCCTCAAAGTCATTCAATCTACCACAACACTAGGACGTAATGCAGCAAAAAAGCTTTGACAATTAAAGTGAACATAACAAACATGGGTTGCACAACTTCCACCGGACCAACCCTTAAGAAAAATTAAAAAGAGAACATGGAACTATTTAAGAGAAGATGAACTGAAGACTAAATAATCTAATTCCTTCCCAGAATTATCATAAAATTATGAATGCCACATCTAGTGAAAACAACGACAAGGGGACGGAGACAGTTACCAACATCTACACACGAACACACATTCATATACACTAACACGCGGATAAATAGATATAGATATACATATATATAGATAGGAATCTTAATAGAAACATTCTCGTGTCTAGTTTTAGAGTGACCTAGTTTACATTTGCAATATTTCCTGTTATCATGGACACCAATTATGGCCACACTCAATACATTAAGAAAGAACAAAGGATGCAGACTGAAGTAGTGAAGGCATTATCATGACAACATAATAATAGCTATAGGGTTTTGTTTGGTTTTAGCTCTTTCCATTTGAGTTATGCATTCTAAAAATACCACCTAGAAGATAATCAAAAACAATACCAACACTTAAATTCATGCTAACAACCGTTTCAAAGATTTTTTTTTTTTTTTTTTCTATTATAGTTCTTCCAACACCAAAACTTATGAAAGAGAATTCTTATGTAGAATACAAGAATGAAAATGTGACAAGAGCATCCCCGTAGACTAAAAAGTAATGCGTTGATGTAAAATTCTT